CTATTTACAATTATATAAAAGCAGCAAATTCTCAAAGTTGGACTGCCATGTCAACAAACTAGCTGCATCCTCAAAGGAAACAAGATAAAAATGACATACATTGAACATATTTAAAAATCCTTCAAACCTCTATAATAGAAAGATTATGAAAACTGTTTACCATTATGCCATTCTGTGGTTAATTCCCAAAATCCCAAAATAAAAACTATAATTTGAACTTATACCTTCTCAAATACCACAATCAAGTTATCCCTTGCAGTTGAAAAGGGATTATCAACAGCTAAACTCCGGAAATACCGATAAACAGCCACCAGCTCATCTCCTGAATATGAAGCTATTATAGCTAGCTGAAATAAGGAGATAATTGAATGCGTAAAAACTCAGAATTGTGTTAAACAAAAGAAATTCAAGAGAAAAGCAAAAAGATTGTAAGTGCATAAAGGTTGAGACTTGAGAGTACTATATAGCATGGAAAAGAAAAAAAAAAAGAAATAACCTGATGATGTGGATTCCCACTTGATGGCCAAATTGATGCAGCTTGCATGTAGTAACTTGAAGCAGCTGCATACTCGCGAGATTTAGAGTCGCCATCTCCGTATAATCCTTTGTACCGCGCTAGGTCTCCCAAGTATATCAAGCAACGGTGACAAGACACCAAACCCTTTTTTATATCAGCAGATTTCTTCCCATCTTTGTCCGTAACAACTTGGCTATCTGAATCATCAGAAAAATACCCAAATGGTAGTCCATACTTTGCTCTGATTTTCAAAATCAGATCGTGATAAAATCCCGTTGCCTCTGAAAGGAAAGTCTTGAACTGCAGTCTTATTTTTGTAATCCTGTCAGGTCGAGGAGGAACTTTCGCAGCCTGAGATGTTTTCGATCCTGAAGAAGCTAGAGCACTAAAATGTGTCCTTATTTCCTCAATCCGCTTGTAATGCAATTGCCACAAAGCATACTCAATATTGTGCTGCTCAGAAAAAGCATGGTCCTCAAGAATTATTGCCTCATAGTTCTCTCGCATCTGCTGCCACGCATTGGGATCTGAAGGTACCCGTGCCTGAGCTGCTCTCCTACAATTATTTTCCAGCTCTATGTTCTGCAGAGAGAACCAAATATTAATTTCCATGTTCAGAAACTCTAAGTAACCTCTATCCTAAAGAAGAAAAAGAATACCTTCTCATAAAGACGCTGCGCATGCTCCCTTGATGAAGGAGCAGACATTTTATCAATCGTCACTATCATCTTACATCTAAACTGTTTCGTCAAAATGAAATAAACCTACAGACATTTCATCAAGTGAGTTCTTACAATCAGAACTTATCTATCATGAAAAAATGCAGGGAAAGATGATTATCATCTAAAAACTGAGCCATTATATTAGTCAAAGTGTAACATAACTCCAAGTAAATAGTACAACCCCTATAGCCAGATTATAAGATGCTCATAGTTAATTTCTAAGAATCAAGATATCAAAAAGAAAACAATTTCAGTGCCCACGTAAATGTAAATAAATTTAGATAGCCATTAACTGAAACCCTATTATCAAGATAGCCAAAATCATCAAAGACTGGCATCAACTCTCACAGAATGCAACAAGAATACATTAGATCAATGGAGCCCTCGCCAGAATAAAACTCTCACAAAATGCAAAAATGATCTAAAAAGAACAATTAAAAACCCTAATTCATATTTCAGAATGACTTCCTCCCCAAATTTCAGCTCTCAAATGGAAGCTTCATTCTGTTCCAAAACATCCGCAAATATAAAAAGCTTCTAATGTCATGTATTGTTTATCCTCAGCTGATTTTTTGAGGAATACTTGAAAATTACTGTAAAATCTCACGAAAAGATCCTAAGACTAATATTAACCTCAGATTCGTATGTTATGCCTACCAAACCCCGACACTGTATCTGTTGTAGCAAAAAGTACGCTCAAAATTTTTAAAACCTAATATAATATTTACATTTTTAATAACATAAATTTTTTAAAAAGGAAAAGAAAAGAAATCAAAAACTAAGAGAAAATGAATGAAAATCAACCCATCTCTTATCATATCAAATCAAATTCGAACATGTTTTTTTTTCTTTTTTTTTCTCTTTCAATTCTTTCTAGGAAATAAAAAGAACAATAAACTATTCATACATAAAATTTTGATTCATTACCCGAAAAGACAAGCAAATAAGCATCAGACCCGAAGATAACAAAGAGGTGATTACAATAATATCAACCACAAATACAAACCCTCAATGTCACCGAAAAAATATATCAAATCGGGAAAACATCAAAATTGAAATTAAAAGGCAGAGAGAGAAAATGGAACTCACTTGATGTAGATCGGATCTGAAGAAAAACCTGGAATCAAAGCATGGGATACGGATTTTGAGGGAAATAAATAGGTATTGATTAGGGTCTGGTAGTGAGAGAGAGAGAGAGAGAGAGAGAGAGGTAGTTTTGTTTTGGTAGAATTGGGGGATGAGATGACCTTAAAATTTCAATATTTCTATGTATTTTCTTTTACTTCTATATCTTCATATCTTATTTATTTTAATTCGATTTAGAGCCAGACTAAGGGCGGCTCTTGTAAACGGCACCGCTTTAATATTTTCCAAACCATTCTAGGGCGTACTAGTACCAGAATTAAGCCCGTGTTTTAATATTTTTATATTTATAATTAGTAATAAAACAATATGAAAATAATTTTTATTCTAAATAGTTTATTTTCATATTAAAAAATAAAATGTATTTTTAATACTGTAAAATAAAATTAATTATTTTTTATTAAAATAAGTTGATTACACAGTAGTATCTATTTTAAATACTTTCAATCATATCGTTGATGTTCAAACTCGTGACCTCTAATAACAACAATGATTCCTTTAACAACTGAGGTAAGTTGGTTCGTGCATTAAATTATTAAACACAATTAAATATATTAACAAATTTAATAATTAAAATAATCTAATAATATATTTTTGAGAGAAAATGATATAAATAATATTTTTAAATTATAATTAGAGTTTCAATAACAATAATAATGAATGTCGAATTCTTTTTATATTTTCCTACTTTCTAATAAAATTCTTAAACACGAGAATGAGATGTTAATTGATACGAGTTTAAAATGGATTGTAAGTGTTTAGTGTAATTTAAGATTATTTATTAAGAGTTTTAGATTAATCAAAATTATGTTTATTATTATATATTACAATCCTAATTTAGGTGAAAAATGATAATGGCAACAAAGGATGTATTATCTGAATATAGACACATGTTTATTCTAAAATTTAAATTTTATTCAGATGGTTATATGTCAATTCTAAAATTTTATTTGTATTTACTATTCAAAAAAGTTAATATTATTAATATATGTGTCGCTTTTAAAAATATTTTTAGATCTATTACTAGTTACCAGGAACTTATAATATTATAAGGAAAGAATGTATAATGACATGACATCATTGCTTTTGAATCAAGTAAACCAACATGCACCTATAAAACAACCTGCACGTCGTTCATCATCTCCTCACAAATATCCAAATTAAACTTCCTTTTTCAAGCTTTGTCAGTACACATGGAGCATCCCTTCAGCAATAAGAGACCTGAGATTCCCCATTTTTATATATCCGACTATTTATAGCTTAATTAGCAAACAGGTTTTGTATCATCATTATTCATCAGCCTCAATGGGAAGGTCTCCATGCTGCGCAGAGGATGCCAATGTGAAAAGGGGCCGTGGACTCCAGAGGAGGATCAGAAGCGTGTTGATCGCATTAAAAAACATGGACATGGACATGGAAGCTGGTGAGCTCTTCCTACGCTGGCAGGCTTAAACAGATGTGGCACAAGTTGCAGATTAAGGTGGACTTATCATCTGAGGCCCAATGTGAAGAGAGGGAAGTTCACCGAAGAAGAAGAGAGAATTATTATTAACCTTCATGCTGCTCTTGGAAACAAGTACATACCTTTTGTCTTGTCTTTTTAATCTTGGATTTTCGGAGGGGGGAAAACATATATGGATATCTGATGTTTATATCTGATTTGTTCTCTTTGTTGCAGGTGGTCATCTTCCTGGAAGAACAGTAAATGAGAAGAAAAAAACTATTGGAATACTCAGATTAGGAAGAAGCTCCTGAGTCCTGAACATGGGGATTGACACTCACACCCACAAGCCAAGAACTAAAACTATAAAATCTTCTCTCCAACTTTTATTCTTCCAGCACAACGTAATCCTATGGTACCATAAGTTCCACATAATTCTAATCGCCATCTTAGAGACTCTACACAAGCTAGGGTGTAATTTTTATTTATGGCTGGACCAGGCAGGACTTATATCCATGTAAAAACCAGGCCCAGCAGGAAACCAAAACGAGCAGGTCATACAGGGGCCCAGCCACACAATTCTTTTATTTTGGTTGACCTATACTGCACGAGAGTAGCAGGGGAAATAAAGAATCTTTAATTCAGTTTGAAATAGAAATTCACCATCTCCAGAAAGAATTGTACAAATATCATTTCCAGATTTCTGGTTAGCAATGTGCATTTAGGATAGAGATGAGGCCTTTTATTTTTTTCCTAACGTGACAGTAACTTGTGAGGCAAACATGAATTGGATGAGGAAATTTCTGATGAACAGTACAGCTGATAAATCAATTTTGGATTCAACCTTTTAAGCAGTAACTGTTGTGTGGTTGGAAAGTTCCGAGACAAATTGAGAGAAAAAGAAAATAATAGACAATTCAGATAACAAGTTTGATAGACGGCCTCAGAAAATGAAGGGATAAAAGAAGTCTAATTGATTTTATCTCTCCAACAGGAACTAAATAGAAGATCTGTGGTATTGGTTTGGGCAAGGAAGAGTGTGGTTGACAGCACTTTATCACGTTATCTCTTTGCATTGCTTTCTCAACCTCATAGTCTCCCATCTCGCTTTCAGGTTTCCTTTCCTCCTAGTCAGAGTGGTTGATATATAACCGCAAGATTCCAAATGAATTCGCTCTTATCTACCACTTGGGACCAGGTTTATGTTGGGTGCTTCTCCTGCTCTCTTATAAAAGCTCCAAACCCATCATATATATTTCTAAGGCACAACTAGCAGCCTGCCATCATCCTTCATCCAATTTCGTTGGAAGCTTCTCTTCCAAAGGTATGCCACTTTACACACTTATTTCTGCATTTTTACAGCGTTTCTTTTTATTATTACTACTATTGTTATTTCCAGTTTCGTTTTTTCACTCTGATGTGTTTAAGCTTTGGAAGCAATAAACTGATCAGAAAAGATATATTTAGACACGACAGGAAACAAAAGCTAGGGAAACTTGCAAAAATATGAAAAACACAAAAGAAAGATGATCACAGATCGTTTAACCAACCAAAATAAGGATTGTGTTAGTATGATGAAACCTTTGTTTTTTATATTATCTATTTGATTGAAAGTTTGAAAAAAAAACTAGTAAAACTATCATCATCTTTATCCTTTGACTGGAATAACTGTGAGTATAAATATTTACGCATGTTGTGGGAAAAATGAACCAAGACGAGTTATTAGAAGTCTTTAGAATTTCAAAGTTTTGATTCTATCATAACCTGTGAAATATAACCAGATTTAGATAGCTACCATAATCTGCTAGCATCTCTTTGTTCATTTGGTTTTCCCTCTGCGTTTATTTATATGATAGAGTGATAGAGTGCTGTTAGTAACCAATCACCCTAATAAATCTGCATTAGAATCTAATTTATTCATATTATTTGAAGCCTATAGAATGAGATTACAGATTAATTTATCATCTGTGATTTTGTTTTCAATGTTGCGTTGGAACACCGAAAAGTAGTGGAAATTCAAGTTATCGGTGGTGATATTTCTAAGTGGGAGAAAAGATGGACTATGTGTATGGACCGGGAAAGAACCATCTCTTTGTTCCGGGGCCGGTTAACATCCCAGAACCGGTTATTCGGGCCATGAACAGGAACAATGAGGATTACCGTTCCCCTGCCATTCCTGCAATGACAAGAACTCTTCTTGAAGATGTCAAGAAGATTTTCAAGACTACCACCGGCACTCCCTTTTTGATCCCAACTACAGGTATTTATTGTTTTAATCACGCTACCATGTTTTCAGCTATCCATCTGAAGTTAATACTTAAGATTGACCGACTTGAAAACTAATACCATTAATCAATCACATAAGTAATATGTTGTTAATACTTAATAATAGTATCTTACCTGTTTCAGATTAGCTAACGAAGATAATGTTGGTGTTGAAATTCAGGAACTGGTGCATGGGAGAGTGCACTTACTAATACCCTGTCCCCTGGAGATCGAATTGTATCTTTCCTTATTGGACAATTCAGTCTGCTGTGGATTGATCAACAACAACGCCTCAAGTTCATCGTCGATGTAGTTGAAAGCGAGTGGGGTCAAGGTGCGAACCTTGACATTCTGGCGGAAAAACTTGCAGCTGATCACGCCCACACAATCAAGGCCATTTGCATTGTTCACAATGAGACTGCAACTGGAGTCACCAACAACCTGGCTACAGTGAGAAAACTACTTGGTAAGTGTACATTATGTTCTTTCAGCAGTGTACGTATTCATATGGGAAATCCCGAGTCCGTTAAACTAGCCAACTGGAATCGGAGCCCTAGTGAAGGCTGAGACAAAGTTCAAATCAATTTTCAAACATGGTTCTCATACTTTCTGTTTCTTCTCAGATCACTACAGGCACCCAGCACTACTACTTGTTGATGGAGTTTCCTCGATTTGTGCCCTTGATTTTCGTATGGACGAATGGGGAGTCGATGTGGCACTAACTGGCTCTCAGAAGGCACTTTCTCTTCCAACAGGAATCGGTATTGTTTGTGCAAGCCCCAAAGCCCTGGAGGCGTCCAAACGTGCAAAATCGGTTAGAGTTTTCTTCGACTGGAACGACTACCTGAAGTTCTACAAAATGGGAACATATTGGCCATACACCCCTTCAATCCAACTACTCTATGGGCTAAGAACCGCTCTGGATCTTATCTTTGAGGAAGGACTCGACAATGTGATTGCAAGACATAGCCGTTTGGGAACAGCAACAAGGTGAGAATAAATCTCCACCACACCACACATCTATATAATCATTTGTGAATACCATATTGAATGATTTCATCGGTTGCACAATCGTGGAACAGGCTGGCTGTGGAGGCCTGGGGCTTGAAGAACTGCACACAAAAAGAGGAATGGCACAGCGACACCGTGACGGCTGTCCTTGTTCCCCCGTATATCGATAGTGCAGAAATTGTTAAAAGAGCATGGAAGAGATACAATTTGAGCTTAGGTCTCGGCCTCAACAAAGTGGCAGGAAAAGTATTCAGAATAGGACATCTTGGAAACCTAAATGAGGTAATTCCTGAGTGATGTTCAAAGTAGTGCTTCTTTTCTAGTTGGTTCTTTACAACAAGCTTTGTTACCAACATCACCATCCTCTTGATGTATTCTTTTTCAGTTGCAACTGTTGGGTTGCCTAGCTGGTGTGGAGATGATACTCAAAGATGTCGGATATCCGGTTAAACTCGGCAGCGGAGTTGCTGCGGCCTGTGCATACCTGCAGAACAACATCCCTATGATCCCTTCCCGGGTTTAATGAATGTGTTATGCATGTAATTACCTCTCTTCTATCTCTTGTTTTAAGGTACTCTGTAAAAAGATGCCTCCCCTCTGTTGAAGCTTTTCAAATCCAGTACTTCTAGACATGTTCACTTATTGTAGTATGCTCCGTTTCATACATGTTCATTTTCTGGTCATATTTTTTGTATCCAGTTGGCTTTATCTCCACACAAGTAGTTCCACCGTTTTCTTATAACTGACGTAAAAGATAAACAAAGATAAGGAAGAAAATGGCAAATAAAAGCAAAGATAGCTTTCTGTAAGAATTGTAGGCAAAACTGTGTGAATTTGAATTGTTGTTTACTGTGTGAATTTGATCATGAAATGATTGTATATTTGTTGTTTCTTTTAAGAAATTTGGTTTGTATATGATGGAAGCTTCAGTGGAAATTTGATATAATTTATAATTCCCACAATATATTATTAAGAATCAAGATATGGGTATAAATATTTATGATAATACATTAGCCGTTGCTACTTTAGATTATTTATAAATTTAATTTGGTTAAGCCTCGAGGGTATTGAGCAAACAGTTCAAACCAAGTTTAATCTAAAACATGCAGTTGCATGACACATCTATCTGCAGCACGCCAAACACAAGCCTGTAGTAAAACTACACACCAAACAACATAACACGATAGCTCCTCAAATAAAATAGCAGGCATCAGCAACACTCCATGTTACAGCAACTGAACAGGATAAGAAGCAAATTTCACGTGCCTTGCAAATACATAACACATGCACAAACCAAACTAAATTAGATTTCGACGTAAAGATGAATATATTAACGCTATCCGAAAAGACGAGGTCTAGGGGTGCCTCAACATTCTTAATCCACTTGAGAAAATCACACCTACATGTGGAAGTTGCTGCAAACAATTATATCCGCATGCAGCCACCTATCCTTAAGTTATTTCGAAGCTGAAGAAAGTGGAATCAATAAAAAAAAATTTGGCTCTCCCAGCACAGATGCACTGGACTTCTGTGTTCCCAAACACTCCAATGCCTAAAGCCTTGCAAAATCTTTTAGTACCATCTGCGCCTCTGCGGATGGTATTGTTCTGTTTTCTATGTTTATACATTTTCAATAATTTTGTGAGCTTTCTGACGCTCTATTTAATGTAGGAAACGTAGATCATATGAAAGCTGTTTTGGCTGATATGGTCAATGTTGGGAAATAAATGAGTAATTTCCCTATAACCGATTAGTGAGAATGCGAAATAAAAGCTGAAAAAATAATACCCGAAATTGATGACGAAGTTCAACCAATTATCCCTACGTCTCCGGACTGCTGCATCTTTTACTAAAGAGAGAAAATTTACAAGTGTTTACAAAAAACTCACAACTCAATAGAAAACTCTCTAAACTCTTTAGTATTGGGAGAAAGAAATGATTTGGGATATGATTTTGAAGCTAAATGGGTTAGGGTATTTATAGTTGAAGTTTAAGGACTAATATTATAAATACCCTAAAGTGTAGGGACTAAAATGTAATTTTCCCCATTACCATTTTCAACAAACATCTACCAAACTTTGAAAACCATTTTTCAAAGTGCGGTGCCAAACTTGAAAACCCATTCGACTTGACTTTCAACAATCTCCCACTTGAAGACTGATTTTAATCTGTCTTCACACCTCGATCAATGCAGCAACATTTCTGGTCTTGTTACTCTAGCATGTCATCTAAAGTTGAACACAACTTTAGTTTGTCTGTAGTCACTGTCTTGACTCCCTTCGACTCTTGTCCACTAGTCTTTGAAGGATTGTTCCTCACTTGAACATACTCGACAAGCCCCTGCTTCGACCTTTCTCTTAAGATAGTCTCTGAAGCCATGTTCTCTACACGAACATGCTCGACAAACTCCTTGGACACAACAACTCTTCTTGCACTTGGCTTCTACTCGCCTTGGCAGAAATGAACCTTATTGAGCCAACTCTCAATGCCTCTTCGATCCTGGGTTTGTCCTCTTCTCTGGACAACTCGATCTTGGGCTCATCCATCACCTTGGATGACTCGGCTCCCCTCGGGTAATTTTGCAACACTTCTGGAATCTTAAGTATGTGCCCCCTCATTTTCTCGACTCTTACCCTCGGCTTAGCATCTTTGACACTCGAACTTGTCCAATACTGCACACATCTTTCCCAGACTCACCATCTGGTTCATCATTGAGTGGATTTTCTCTGCCACTCGAGGAACAACATTCCTCATCCTCTGACTTGCCTTCATCACGAATCTCTTGTCGCTACCCTCGACTTTCGGCTTTGCTTTGGAAGTCTTGTTCTTCTTGACTCCAAATTCTTTGATGGACTTAGCGGTTGTCAAGGCTTTAGACAACTCCTTGACTTCCCTTCGCTCCAATACTCTCTTCGCCCATGGCTTCAATCTGAACATGAAGGTAAAGAATCCATCTTCTTCAGTCAAACTTGGGACTTTGAGCATGAGTTTTCTGAATTGACTCACATATTCCTTAAGTGTCCCTTTATGTATGAGACGCCTCAACTTGGACCACGCTTCCATCCTGACATACTGTGAGCAGACTTGCTTACTTTGCACCTTCGGCTTGACGGTTTTATCTCTTGCTATCGCATCGGGTCCCTTGTTGTACTCGACTTCTTTGACACCCTTAGTCTCATCACGTTTCGATCCTGGGTTAACTACTTGAGAACTTGTAGTCGCACCACTCTTGCTCATTGGTTCGACTACTTTAGAACATGTAGCCTCACCAAGTCTTTCCCCTGTCTTGATTGCTCGGATACTCGCAATCTCAGGCTTTCTTCCGGGTTCGACTGCTTCAACATCAACAGCCTTGCCTCGTCTTGAACCTTGCTTGGCCGCATTGATCCCATCAATCGGGCCAAGTCTTTTTTCTGGCTTGGTAGCTTTAACACTTGTAACCGCGCCAATTCCCGCTACTTCTCCTTCTTCCATCCTCTTCATGATGGCTGTAAGGTGATGCTTCTCGGGACATCCTCTAATAAAATGAGGACCATCACAGAAGTAGCACTTCAAATTTTCCTTACTCATATTCTTCTTTACACCGGACTTAGCCTTGTCATTCTTTCCCGATGGCTTTCCTTGGCTACGAACAATCGATGGCTCATGTTGACCATTCGAAGAGCTTTCTTTACCATCTCCCTGCTGCACCTTTTCCCGGTCTCCACCACTGTTGCCACTATCTCTGGGCATGGTCCTGGACGACACATCGCTACTTGGCTTGTCACCTGCAAGCTCAGTCAGCTTTTCGGCTACAGCTATGACCTCCGAAAGTCTCTGGGCATCACTTTGCTCTCCCCTAGCATTGCCCCTGGTCTAAGTCCTTCCAAGAAGGTCTTGAGCGCATCTCATTCACTCAGTGCTCCCTTGTATATGAGTAGCTCCCTTTTAAGCTCATCCACTTCGTTTCTCAAAGTCATCGCTCCCACTCGAATATGACTTCTTTTGTATCGTTTCTGACAATTCCCGTGAACCACCGTATATTAGAACACCTTCGTCGACAAATTCTTATTGCCGACAAAATTTTACTATTCACGAATTTTACTTTTCATGTGAATAGTAACCTCACTGAAAAACCGACAAAATTAACCACCAAAAGATCTGATACCAGTTGTTGGGAAATAAATGAGTACTTTCCCTATAACCAAGTTAGTGAGAATGCGAAATATAAGCGGAAAAAATAATACCCGAAATTGATAACGGAGTTCAACCAATTATGCTTACGTCTCCTGACTGCTGCAAATCTTTTACTAAAGAGAAAAAATTACAGGTGTTTACAAAACACTCACAACTCACAAGAAAACTCTCTAAACTCTTTAGTATTGGGAGAAAGAAATGATTTGGGATAATTTTGAAGCTAAATGAGTTAGGGTATTTATAGTTGAAGCTTAAAGACTAATCTTATAAATACTCTAAAGTGTACAGGGACTAAAATGTAATTTTCCCCATTACCATTTTCAACAAACATCTACCAAACTTTGAAAATCATTTTTCAAAGTGCGGTGCCAAACTTGAAAACCCATTCGGCTTGACTTTCAACAGTCAAGACTTATAAAAATGGAATATCCGTCGACCAATGCACGACCCAAAGAAGATATAACCGAAGATATGGATACTCGAAAAACAAGGAATTTGCAAATAAAAAAGTTGCAGTCGAGAAAGACGTTTACTTTTTGGAGAGTAAGTTTCGTCCTGGTACCAAGATGCACTTAAAGGAGCTGTCCAGTAAGCTAACGAAACGAGTTTTTTTATCTCGTCCAGTGGCCGACTCAATTCCATTCTCATCTCAAAACTTTGCACACATCTTGAACTATTTTCAACTGCAATCTAAATCAGCAGCATCTAAAATACTGGAACAATCAATCGACGATTGTGAAGCACCAGCCCTGGAAGGAGAAACAAAATATTATGCAACGTCATTCGAGTCTTTCGTGGATTCGGGTGTCTCCATGTTGGGAAAAAACATCGAGCTTTTGTAGATCGATCACGATTTCATAGGAGTTTTTGGTGGCAGGGGAGAGGAGGTCGGGTGAAGCTTTATCAATGGCAAAAAGCGATGGTTGGCCTAGGTTTAGGGGTTGAAATGAATGTTTTCAAAGTTTTAGGTTTATTTTAAAATTTGTGTGTTTTTAAAAAATATATATATATGTAATTTTAATTTTTTTAATTTTAAATATTTTTTTTTAAAATTACCATGTTTTGAAACGTGTCACTTAACGGCCTATCACGGCCTAACCCAATTTGAGTTACGGAATGAAACGTTAAGCATCAAACTGGAACGAAATAAACGGTAGACACTAAACTAGAACCAAAAACATACATTGGGCACCTTTTGTATATTTAAACTATTTAAAGACAACTGAAATTGGTAAAAATTGCAGTTGGAGCATACAATTATAAGGTCGATCCAAGTAAGGAAAAAAGTTTCAGTTTTGACAGGGATGGAGTGCCGAGCGAGCAATTCAATGGTAAAAATTATCTTGAAATGATGATTTATAGATTAAATTATATATGATTTATAAATTAAAGTAATTTTAATACATGAAGATTAAATGAAAAGAAAGTAAATAAAAATTAATTTTCACTCATAAATTGAAAACTTCATAATAGCTTAGTTTTTTTCTTTCCAATTCGATTGTTCGAG